GTGAGGACCACCACACTGCTCACCCGCACGGTCGCCAGTGCGCAGGACGTAGGTGCACGGACCAGTACCCCCACCCCTCTGACGTGCAGCGTACCACTCACGGAGCTGCTGCGGGGAGAGGGTCTCCTGACCACGTTGCTGCTGCTGGCGCTGACCACCACCGGAGCCACTCCTCCGCGACGAGCCACGACCGCCGCCGCCCCCTCCGCCGCCTCCTCCGCCGCCACCGCCACCACCTCCACCGCCACCGCCACCTCCACCGTCGCTGCCGCCACCACCGCCTCCGCCTCCACCCCCACCACCACCGCCACTGCCGCCCCCGCCTCCACTGCCGCCGCTGACACCTCCACTCCCGCCACCACTCCCGCTACCACCCTCACCTCCTCCGCTGCCTCCACCGCCGCCTCCACCGCCCCCGCCGCCTCCTCCACCGCCTCTGCCTCCCTTGCTCTTGCCAGAGCGACGTCTCCCACTGGGGGCAGACGCCGCACCGACCGACTCAAAACCAACTAGGTCGGCCGTAGCAGCAGAGGCAACAGAGGGCAGGAGGGGGGAGGGGGAACACCCCTCAAAGATGGGGGTGCGCGGGTCACCACGAGAGGCCCCTACAGCGAGAATGCTCTTCTCGGCCGCTAGGAGGGACTTCTCGAGGAGCTCAACGGTGAGAGTGGTGGGGCAGACTGAGAGTAAGTCGTCCCTGACTCCTCGAAGGGAGTCAGGGAGGCGGGTGACAATGTAGTAGAGAGTGAAGTACTGGGGGGGGGGGTTCTTTGCACAGAACTCAGCAGGAAGCGCAGCGCGAAAGCGAGCGTCACTAGTGCGCAGGTGGGTAATGAGGTCGGCGACTGTGGCAAAAGCAGCAAGGTCGGGAAAGAGGTACGGTAGCATGAGGCGGCTCAGTGCAGCAGTGGCAGGGGTGGAGTAGCGTGCAATAACGGCGTCGTACAAGGTCTTAGCACTCTTGTACGACCCAAAGTGCGCACGCTCAGCAGGGGGGAGGTGGCGACGCACAGCAAGACGTGCAGCAGCATCGCGAGTGGCCCACTGTGAGCGAACAGTGGCATCCTCAGTAGCAGCAGGGGCGGGAGAGGCACCAGAGGTGAGATCAAAGAGAGAGAGTCCGTCAGCTCTGTCGCACTGTAGGAAAAGCAGTAGGTCGTCTACCCACACGTCAAAGTCGATGGCTCTGCCCTCAGCGTCAAAAGTGAGAACACTGGGGGTAGCCATGAGAGCAGTAGGGTGAGGGCAGTGCGCAGAGTAAAGCTCAGTGCTCACCAGACAGGGCATTGCAGGGAGGGCTTGGGCGGCTCGGCGGCTCGGGGCGGCTCGGCTGCTGGGGCGGCTCGGCGCTCGGGGCGGCTCGGCTGCTGGGGCGGCTCGGCTGCTGCGGCGGCTCGGCTGCTGGAGGCGGCTCGGCTGCTACGGCGGCTCGGCTGCTGGGGCGGCGGGGCCGGTAGGTGCAGCGGCGGGCCGGCAGGTGTAGCGGCGGGCCGGAAGGTGCAGCGGCGGGGCCGTCAGGTGGTGTGGCGGGCCGGCAGGTGCAGCGGCGGGGCCGGCAGGTGCAGCGGCGGGGCCGTCAGGTGCAGCGGCGGGCCGGCAGGTGCAGCGGCGGGGCCGTCAGGTGGTGCGGCGGGCCAGCAGGTGCAGCGGCGGGGCCGTCAGGTGGTGCGGCGGGCCAGCAGGTGCAGTGGCGGGCCGGCAGGTGCAGCGGCGGGGCCGTCAGGTGCTGCGGCGGGCCGGCGGGTGCAGCTGCGGGGCCGTCAGGCGCAGCTGCGGGGCCGGCAGAGCAGGCCGCGGGGCCGCGCCGTAGCGAGCGGCGGGGCCGCGGGTGAGCAGGCGGCGGGGCCGCGTCTGAGAGGGCGGCGGGGCCGCGTCGTAGTAGGCGGCGGGGCCGCGTTCGAGAAGGGCGGCGGGGCCGCGTTCGAGAGGGCGGCGGGGCCGCGTTCGAGAAGGGCGGCGGGGCCGCGTTCGAGAGGGCGGCGGGGCCGCGTTCGAGAGGGCGGCGGGGCCGCGTTCGAGAAATGGCGGCGGGGCCGCGTCAGAGAGGGCGGCAGGGCCGCGAGGTAAGGGCGACACGGAGGGTCGCTCGAGCGAGAGGAAAAAAAGTTGGCGCGCCTCGGGGCGCGCTTCGGTGGGCCCTAGGCTAAGTTCCCACATGGAACCCGCTCTATACCATGTTGATTTGAGAGAGGAATGAAATGACTAAGGAAAGATTGGGTACAAATACAACCCTAGAAACCTGTACCCCATATGTGCTACCCCAGTATAGCCTACAGCAACTATGTCATATAAATCTGACAATATCGGTCGAGTTGCTCCGCATCGCTCATATCGTCCACTTGGTCAGCCAAATTGCATAATGTTGCCGTGTAATCTTGGACCGACGCCAGCTGCTTCCAGGTGCGCAGCTTCATGCGAGCAGAATCCGAGGCGGATACATGCTCGAATCTAGTTCGCAGCACGGCGCCCCACTCCGTCCATGTGGGTATCGTGGCCACTCCGAAGATTGAAGTTGCCTGTTGCGTGACAGTTGTCCAGGTCCCGTCGTTCGCACGTGACATCCCTGCCGGAGTCCCCTCTGTCTGAAGAGTCCGCTTCCACCACTCCAACGCCGGTCCTCGTAACAGTGACACTGCAAAATTAATGCGGGTAGCATCGTCAGCAATTTGCGCAGCATTGAAGAACACCTCTACACCGAACAACCATGCCGACACAGTGACGGTTTTGTCGCTGGGGTTGAACGGGGGTGGGTTCGTCGGCTTTATTTTACCAGTTATTGAGACTGTTGTTGCTGTATGCATCGGGGGCGCCATTGAAGCCATCACCGGGGTTGTCGCTGTTGCCTGACGTGGCGTAGTATGCGACTTGTGCCTCGGCGCCGCTCGTGTCTGTTGTTGCGGCTGTGACTGTTGTTCCTCCGCCCCTTGTGCTCGTTGCATCCGTGCCGTCCACTCATCTTCAGCGTCCAGCGAGTTCTGTAGCTCGCTGAGGACCTCGTCGTTAGGCGCGAAACTGCTACTTGGTTCATCCACGGCGGGCGACTCCTGACGCGCTTCACCTCGCGTCTGGCGTAGCTCGGCGTTTTCCGCCCTCAGACGATCCAACTCGCCAGACATAGTCTGCATGTTGGATTGCATCGCCCGAAAGTCTTGCAAGAACACGTCAAACTCTGCTTGCGTAATATTTCGGAGACTCATCCTAGCGGGCAGCGGGTTAACAACGATTTTTATGGTTTTGATGAAGGCGCAAACGCTATTAGTCGGAGCGAGATAATCGTATCTCTCAGCCGACCGCTTTGCATCCCACCAAACCTATCGCACCCTTGCACTAAACTACCCCGGAAAGTGGAGGGTAACCTAGGAAAGTAGCTCTGATACCAAGTGTTATGAGTTGTATGAAAGAAGAGTGCGCAGAATGCAATATCGCGGAAGTGATTACAACTACTGAGCAAACAACGAGGCCTAGGCATAATATAGCACAGCTAGCTAAGCCGAGGTCGCGGAGTCGCGCGAAGGTTGGGTGTAGGTTTGGGGTTGGGAAACCCGAAGGCGACGCGGGAGACGTTCGGGAGGCGAGGTCGACGGACCGAGCCTGAATTCCGAAAGTTGGAATTGAACGCGTAAAAGGTGCCTTAGTAAGGAATTAGCGAAATTCCTTACACGACCACCCCAATCCCTTCATGATATCGTTGTCCATTCCCGCAATTTTTCCCAACCAAGCTCGCTTTGAAATGCACTAGTTCCTTTCTTGCACATTTTTCAACACAACCAACATAACCAGCATATCGATTTGTTGGTTATTTTTTTAAAATTTCAGTTTCAGCGGCTGAGTCAATATCGATACTGAATGTGGTCAGCAAAACGTGCCTTCAAGATACTGCCAAGTTTCATTGACCACAACTTGTGTCTGCAAAACTTCATCAGCCGACTTCTTCTGAGAACTTCTGCCGTTCGTTTCTCCTCCACCGCACCACACCACACCTTCCTCCACTTCCCAAATTGCTTCAATTCGACCAGTCACACCTTCGGAGATCAGGAGGAATGCCATTTCACCATCGTGCGCACTGTCTATAGCGCTTAGGGCGCGTATGATCGTTTTTCATGTCGGGGAAAAAGATCGAGCTTTGTGTGGCTACCAGATTCGCCAATGTCGTCAAGGCTCTTTGGCGAAGGCACGAGAATTTTGGGGGCACATAAGTGCGAATGTCAAATGTGAACTCAACTCGAATCACACGGGTGAACGTGCGGGTGCACGTGAGGCGAGTGTGTGTTGTTTCAGCACGTACGAAGACCATCCGAAAATCACCAATGCTTTGCGAAACTCGCGGAGCTTCGTCGCAAACTAAGTTGACGTGTCGTGCTGTACCAGGTAACCTACACCCCCTACCGGCGGCTCGCCGCCTTCTCTAGAAGGTCGAATCTCTGTGTTCGACCTTGGGTGTGTGATTGTGACTCGTCTGTGTTGGAGACCCAAGATTCGAGCTTCGCTGCAAGGAAAGTCGAGTTTTGTTCAAATGCTACATTCGATCTAAAAACATCAACTTTCACAGATTTGTAAGACCACACGCGCCCTTAGATTCAGCGCGCTGATGTCTCTAAGCAGTGGCGCAATTGGCGACAAACCAGGGTGGGCTGTAACACAACATGCGAATCGCAGTTCTCCTGTCAACCTCGTTGCTGAACAGCAAGTGAACACGTGTAACCAACAAATACCACACAAATCCATTACACACGCAACAGCAGGTTACAATAAGAAACAGCTTAATATAGTGCGTTTGAGAGCGGTCACCAGCATGCCTGAAACCACAAACAGCCCTCCGCATCCACCAAGCAACAAACCACTTACACACACACCCCAGAGATAGGGGACAAACTCTCGCAATCCAGGAATGCAGAAGTACTAGCGTATATTTCTGAACAGACAACCCCGCCATACTCCAGGGCGGCAGCAGATCTATCCGCGCTTTACCGTTTCCCCCCGTTCGCCATTCTCCTGATTAGATGGCTACGGCTAGTAGCCGCATGAATGCCATCATGGTTTCACCTGCGCGCGCCGATCCGCCCTTCCCCGTGGAGAGCCTCCCCGACGACGTTCTCGCGCTCGTCCTCCGCTCGCTCGCGCGAACCTCCTTCCGCCACGCGCTCGTTTCTAAGCGCTGGTACCGCCTCGCCACGTCTGCGCTCTCCCACTTGACCATTCGGCATCAGAATCTATCGATGCAAGAAATACGAGATTCTGAGCACTTCCGCAACGCGCAGCTTGCATGGCTCCCGCTCCCGCGCCTTCTTTTCGCGCTGCGACACTTCCCCACCCTCACGCACGTGTCGCTGGGCGAGTTCTCGATCGTATCCGCCGACGGCGACGCGCTCATCCGATGCCTGGCCGCCACGTGTCCGTTCCTGAGCCATCTAACGGTGGAGCATCAGTTTCGCATGGCGGTTACTGTAGACGGCCTCGCCTCGCTCTTCCACGGGTGTCGCAAGCTCAGGGAACTCCGCCTGCTCACCACCGACGGCCTCCCGCATCTCCCGCCGTCCCTCTCGCTCCTCACAGATCTCCAAACCCTCCATGTGTGCGCTCATCCTCTATATGGCGATGACTCGCTACAGGAGCTCGTTTCGCCGCCCGAGAGCATCGGCGCGCTGCAGCAGCTGCGGGAGCTGCGGGTCAGCGCGGGATCGAGTTTCCAGGGTCTGGGGGAGTGCGTGGGTCGCCTCACTGACCTTCGGAAGCTGAGCATCGGTACTACTCATCTCTCAAGAACCGTCACGAAGCTTCCCGACGCGATAGGCGATTTGGATCGGCTGGAAAGCCTGGAAGTCGAGCTGGACGGGCTCGAGTGCATTCCGGAATCCCTCCAACTGCTGACCGGGCTGAAATCCCTCTCTCTCCAATCCAAGCGTCTGCAGCGCCTGCCCGGAAATGTTATGGCGGGGCTGACGCAGCTGCAGTCTCTTTCCCTCCACGCCTGCGATTCCCTCGGGATTCTCCCAGAGAGCATTTGCTTCCTCCCTCTCTCCTCCCTCTCCATCTCCTCCTGCTCCTCGCTCATCTCACTCCCTCACCACATCGGCGCATTATCTCATCTGGAAACCTTAAAGCTCCTCTCCCTTGATAATATCCGGGTTCTGCCCGAAAGCCTGGGTGATTTACCCCAGTTAATAACGCTCGAGCTGGACCTGCCCGCGCTGGAGCATCTGCCCGAGAGATTGTGTGAAGGCAGCCTTTCAGCGTGCCTGGAAAAGCTGAGCCTGACCAACTGCAACGAACTGACGGAGCTTCCTCCCTCACTATACATGCTGACTCGTTTAGAGTCCCTCCATATCGAGTCATGCTCCAATATAAAGTCTCTGAAGCCGCTGACCTCTCCAAGCTTCCCTGAAAGCTCCGGAATAGTTTTGAATTTGTTCAGCCTCGCTGAAAGAGTCATTATTGGTGCACTCTTTTCAATGATGGAAGTGATCTCCCTGCCATTGCTCATGGTGCGAGAGCTGATAGAACCCTCCTCTGCTGTCACGCACGCTTCTGCTGGTGCTGAAAGCGGCAGTCCTGTCACCGCAGCTGTGCCACTGCTGCTAGTTGTGGCGGTGCTGCTGATGCCTCTGCTGCCCAGTGCGTGGCTCTATCCTGCCATGCTGCTCGCTGCTGCGCTGCTGCTGGTGATCCTGCTCCTACGACCCGTTGCTTCTACCTCTGCCCCTACCTCTAGCCCTGCTTCTGCTCCTGACTCTGCCACTGCTTCTGCCCCTGCTTCTGCCCCTGCCCCTGTCCCTGCCCGTCCCCGTGCCCGTGCCCGTGCCCCTGCCGCTGCCGCCGCCGCTGCCCCTGGCCCTGCCCCTGCCCCTGCCCCTGTCACACATAGTGTACCTATCCGTGCCTTTGATGTTGCATCAAATGGCACGGAACAACACCCGGGCCTATTTTCCCTCACCATATTAAAGGTTTCAGACTGCCCGCTTATCTCCTCCCTCCCGAAAAACTTCTCCTTCCCTGCCCTGCACACGCTCACCCTGCATTCTCTCAGCGTTCCGAACAATCTCCTGGACTTATCCAGCAGGCAGCTGCCGCAACTGCGGTGGCTGGTGCTGGAGAGGATGGGTGCTGAGGCTGACCCATGGCTGTTTGACCGCATTCCTGGTGTGCGGTCGGGGAGAATGCGGCTATTTCTGCATGTGAAAGCTCTATTTGTGCTTCTGCACGTGGTGGATTTATTGCTGCAGCTGGTTGTGTTGCTGATGAGGGCGGGTTGTTCAGTGCTGCAGGGCGCGTTCGCTTGGTCACTTGGTCGTGTATGCCGGTCTTCGTGACTCGGGATAATTGTACTGCAGAGGTTAGTGTACAGTACAGAGAGCACAATAGAGGTGGTAGATATAGAACTTCCTGTCACATCCCTTCTTGTTTGTGATCAATATCCAAGGTTTTATCCATGACAGCCAATGGCCAATGAGAAATCAGATCGGCTATATGGATGAGAAAATGTACACTCGTTGCATCTAGCATGTTGTCTTGGTATACGAGCCTCAGTGTCCAGCTTGATTAATGTGTTTGGTGGTACCGTACTCTTGTGTGGAACATTCACCTTAAATGATGTGTTTGGTGGTACTGTACTGTATTGCATCATATTTCCCTTCCTAAGGTATGTCCATAGAGACATCGAAGGTTGGGATTGACTCGAGTCAAATTCGACCATCCGAATTCGTGAGCGGTCCTCCCTTGCCGTTGACGTCCCCTGACCGCCCCGTCACATGTTCTGCCCCCAACTACCGCAATGCGCGCCGAGCGCACAACGAACGAGCCTGGCCCCAAACACTGATCTCTCCGTTTCCTTCTTTGCGTTTCCCACTTCACCATTTGCTTTACCCAACCCATCCCATTCCATCCCGCACTCTTTCCAACTGTATCGCAGCAGCGCTTGCCTACATTTCTGTTTAGGCAAGCCGCTACGCTCTAGGGCAGCAGGTCTATCCCCGCTTTACCCATTTCCCTAATTCGCCTCATTAACAACGTCTCTAAACATCCACACGATGCCGTTCATCCCTTTCCCAAGCCGCTTCAACGCCATGGTTTCACCAGCGCGCGCCGATCCGCCCTTCCCCGTGGATCGCCTCCCCGACGACGTTCTCGCGCTCGTCCTCCGCTCGCTCGCGCAGACCTCCTTCCGCCACGCGCTCGTTTCCAAGCGCTGGTACCGCCTCGCCACGTCCGCGCTCTCCCACCTGACCATTCGCCATCGGGATTTATCGATGCGAGAAATACGAGATTCTGAGCACTTCCGCAACGCGCAGCTTGCATGGCTCCCGCTCCCGCGCCTTCTTTCCGTTTTGCGCCGCTTCCCCACCCTCACGCACGTGTCGCTGAGCGAGTTCTCGATCGTATCCGCCGATGGCGACGCGCTCTTCCAATGTCTCGCCGCCACGTGTCCGCTCCTGAGCCATCTAACGGTGGAGCATCAGTTTCGCATGGTGGTCACTGTAGACGGCCTCGCGTCGCTCTTCCATGGATGCCGCAAGCTTAGAGAATTCCGCCTGCTCACCACCTTCTGCCTTCCGCATCTCCCGCCGTCCCTTTCGCTCCTCACGGATCTCCAAACCCTCCACGTGTGCGCTCATCCTCTCTATGGCGATGACTCGTTACAGGAGCTCGTTTCGCCGCCCGAGAGCATCGGCGCGCTGCAGCAGCTGCGGGAGTTGCGGATCAGCGCGGGAACGAGTTTCCAGGGACTTGGGGAGTGCGTGGACCTCATTACTAACCTCCGCAAGCTGAGTATCGGTACTCTCTTCGCAAGAGCCATCACGAGGCTTCCCGACGCGATAGGCGACTTGGCTCGGCTGGAAAGCCTAGAGATCGAACTTGACGGGCTCGAGTGCATTCCGGAATCCTTCCATCTGCTGACCGGGCTGAAAACCCTTTTCCTTCAATCAGAGAATCTGCAATGCCTGCCCGTAAATGTTATGGCGGGGCTGACTCAGCTGCGGTCCCTTTCCCTCCACGCCTGCAATTCGCTCAAGATTCTCCCGGAGAGCATCTGCTTCCTCCCTCTCTCCTCCCTCAGCATCTCCTCCTGCCCCTCCCTCACCTCACTCCCACACCACATCGGCGCCTTGTCCCACCTGCAAACCCTAAAGCTCCTCCACCTTGATAATATCCGGGATCTGCCCGAAAGTCTGGGTAAGTTACCCCGGTTACAATCGGTCGGGTTGGACCTGCCCGCACTGGCGCATCTGCCCGAGGGATTATGTGAAAGCAGCCTGCCTGCGTGCCTGGAAAAGCTGAGACTGACCAACTGCGAGCAGCTAAGGGAGCTTCCCCATTCACTGTACAAGCTGACTCGTTTACAATCACTCCATATCGAGTCATGCTCCCGTATAGAGTCTGTGAAGTCGCTGACCCCTCCAATTTCCTTTGAAGGGTATGAAACGGGGAGAAGCGAGGCGGAATCATACAGTCTGGCAGAAAAGGCAATCACTGCTGCACTCTGCATTGCTGTAGTCTTTGCTGTGATGCTGCTCATCTCCCTGCTGCTGCTCACCGTGCAAGTGTTCATAGCACTCTCCACCGCACAATACATCAGGCCTTCGGTGCTGCTTGTCCCTGCTGCCGTGCTCGCTTTCGCTGGCGCTAGAAGCGGCAGTGCCATCGCCTTCGTTGCATCGCTGCTTCTTGTTGTGGTGCTGCTGCTGATGTCTCTGGTGCCCACTGCGTGGCTCTATCCTGCCATGCTGTTTGCTGCTGCGCTGCTGGTGTTCCTGTTCCTGCATACAGCTGCCTCTGCCCCTGCCCCTGCTTCTTCCTATGCCTCTGTCTCTGCCTCTGTCTCTGCCTCTGCATCGGCCCCTGCCTTTGTATCTATCCCTGTCTTCGATTCCAGCGCCGAACAACACCCGGGCTTAGTGTCGCTCGCCGTGCTAAAAGTTTCAAACTGCCCGCTCATCTCCTCCCTCCCAGAAAACTTCTCCTTCCCTGCCCTGCACACCCTCACCCTGCATTCCCTGGGCAACCTGAAAAATCACCTGAACTTTGCACCCAGGCAGCTGCCGAAGCTGCAGTATCTGGATCTGGAGCGGGTGGATGGCGATGCAGAACCGTGCCTGCCTGACTGCTGTGCTCCCTGTGCGAGGTTCGGCAGGGCTGCGCTTGCAAGCAGTGGGGTGCCATTTGACAGTGCTCTCTGCGTGCCAATACAGGCAGTGGAGTTGCTGCTGCGGCTTGTTGTGTGCTTATTCCAGCCGGCTTATACGAGAGTGTGTCGATTGTACAGGTTGGCATGCAGATGGGGGAGGAGAGGGTTTTGGAAGTTGCAGCAGCGTGGAAGGTGCAGAGCGGTTCTTTCAGTAAATAGGTAGATGGGGTAGGAGAGGTGTTGGAAGTGGGGGAGTGAGAGCTCATTGCTTCACATTGACTCTGATTCGGTAATCTGATGCCCTAATTTACCGTAACTGCTCCAAGTACACTTAATGTAAGATGCATCTTCTACTTCCCTGAAATTGAACCGACTGTACAACGAACATGTGCCACTTTTCACCTGTGACCTCTCGACGCGCCTTGTCAGCTGATTTGCTGCAATTATATTTACAAATTCAGTAACCTGCACGCTCAATGTCGCTATGCATCTTGCATGGGCTCTGCTGCTGTTTTCGCCAGCCCTCGTATCTCCACGTCATACACCACCTCCTCCACCTTCTTCAGGTCGTACTTGATGCCTGTGGGGTACGCAGAGAGAGAACAGAGAGTGACATAAGAAACACATGCCCTCCCAGCACCACTAGCCCTCGTATCTTCACATCATATTATATACCACCTCCTCCACCTTCTTCAGGCCGTACTTGATGCCTGCAAGCGGGAGGTGTGCATGCGAGAAAGGACATAAAGAAACGCATTGATAGATGCCCCCCTGCCACCACCAACCCCTGTTATCTGCACCTCATGCACCACCTTCTCCACCTTTTTCCTTTTCCGGTCGTATTTATACCTGCAGGGCATGCCACAGCAGGAGGCACGTGGAAGACATGGAGGGATCGGGGGCACACAGAGAAAGAAAGCGAATTAGAAGAGCTTAGACAGATGCGCTCCTGGTCAGCCCCCTGGCCTTATCTCCACGTGATGTATCACCCCCTCCTCCACCTTCGTGCCAAGGCTGAGAGCTTGGCAAAGGCAGGGATGAGGCAGTCACATGTGCACCCACCCACCAGATCGAATCTAATCTAACATCGCCCCATCTACCCACGCACCGTCGAATCGCTTGCGGAGCATGTCGTTGCGCAGGTTGAGCTTGCGGAAGGCAGCGAAGAGGTCGTTGAGAAAGGCGGCCGCCACTCGCGGGACAGCATAATCCCCTGCTGTCACTCTGTTCATCACAAAGCGCGGCTGGTGTGGGAGGTAGGGGCGAAAGCAGACGGGGGAGGGGACAGGTGCATGACCAGAGAGGCAACAAAGAGATTGCTGAGGAGTGCAGCCGCCACTCGGGGGGCAGCGTGGTTACCCTGTTCATCACAAAGCGCGGCTGAGATGAGGGGGGAGAGAGAGGCAGTGGGCGAGAGAGGCAGGTGAGAGGGGCAGGGGCAGTGGGGGAACAGGTGGATGCATGGTAGCAATGAGGCGATTGATGAATGCAGCTCACTCGAGGGCACGCTCAGTCGCCACTTGAGGATTGCATGCACAGTCGCCCTCTGTTACCCTGCTCATCACGGAGCGAGGCTGGAAGGAGGGAAGAGAGAGAGGGGGGGAGTCACGTTATGGTTTGTGAGGAAGCTGCAAAGAGGTGACTAAGGGGTGGAGACAACACAGCCCCTGAGGAATACAGGGATAATGCAATCAACAAGGGACGGAGACAACGCAACGAGCAGCAATGAGAGGGCAGCAGAGCACACGGGGGTGGGATGGCGAGCATGGGGGGATACTGGAGGGTGGGGAAGGGTGGAGCAGGGTGGTGGAGGGTGGAGGAGGGTGGAGGAGGGTGGAGGGGGGTGGAGCTCACGAATTCATTGGAGAGACCGCAGAGGCCGGTGAGATAGTCCTCTAGATCGATGCTGAACGATGCTGCCCGCACTGAGGGACACGCACCATGGGTGGAGTGGGAGAGTGAGGGGGACGGGAGGATAGTGGTGGGGAGCCTGATCTTTGCGACACTGAGTGTACGGGGAGGGGGTTGAGAGAAACCATGAAAAGGCTCTCTAAGAGCTGCCCTCACCCAGAAGCCCGATATCAGAAATCTCAAATAGAGTATACAGTAGCTTATACAGTAACGAAACGTATTCTACAGTGGCTTACACTGTAGCTGTTCCTCTAGTTGCTTATGTGAGAGCAGCGTTCCAGAGTCCAGCCAATGAGCGAACGCCAGCTGGGACACCACCGTGTGGTTCTGACTGCGCCAGTGGTCGCTGAACCTGTTGGTTGCGAGAAAACATTCAGCAAGACGGAGTGAATCTGCAGTTCATACTCGGTATAAGCCAGAGAAAGGGGATGTACAGAGTCAGGAATGCAAGTCGTAGACAGTACCAGCCATGTGTGTTCACAAGAGAATCGCATCCACATGGCACACGCATGTAAATCAGTAGATGACTAAGGTAACTTTGCAATTGACCTTAGCTTGCTTGAGGGACCCGTGGCAGGGTCTGGTAGCACTCGCACCTGTAGAACTCGCCCGGGCGGCGAGCAATGATTGCTGCCAGCTCAGCATACGCCGCCTGCAGCTTTGGCACGCTCTCCCGCGCCTTCTGCACCGCCTGCTGCACTGCAGAGGGAGGGGAGGGGGGGAGGGGAGGGGGGGAGGAAACGGGGATTGCGGAAGAGAAGCGTGACAGTGGTTCAGAGGGAGGGAAGGGCGCAATCGTATAAACACACTCAAGAATCTCATTTGCGCCTTCTGCACCTCCTGCTGCACTGCGGGAGGTGGGGGCCGGGAGGGGGCCGGGGTGGGTGGGGTTGGGGGGAGAGTGTGGGGAGGAGAAGGGTGATAACGGTTCGGAGGGAAGGAGGGGAGGATGCTGGATGGGTACACACGTGGTACGAAATTCTCACACTACCTTCAACGTTTCACTGCGACAGAGCACCACTATCCCGGAATCGACTAAAAGATCCGCGACTGTAGCTGCTGCATCAGGCGCGCCCATGCTCGCACCGCCCGCTCGTCTCTTCCTCATGGTCTCTCCGTCCCCTCCACGCACCTGCGCCTTCCTGCCGCCGATGCACGCCCAGCAGGTCCGACTGCACCTGCCGCGTCAGCCCGTCCATCCGCTGCACCGCCGCGCGCAGATCGTCGCGCACAGCCGCCACCGCCTCCAGCTGCGCGCCGATCTCCGCCAACTCCGCCTCGAGATCTCCGCCGCCCGCCCAGCCGCTGGCGGGCGCAGCAAGAACGTCTGCGGGAACGGGCTCCATGCGGATAACTAACTGCCTAAGCGCGAAGGGATTACTATTGGCTGGGAAAGTATAAAGAGGACGCTGATACGTCAATGATGGCGAAGTTAGGAAACAAGCAGAGGACGAGTGGAATGGTAAAACGGAAATCAGTGCTTGCAGCGTGCGAGCAACAAGGAAATTCACGTGCGCGATGAGAAGCGCAAGCAGGCACAAATTCGGTGAGTGCGCCCCAAAAGCATCGCCCGTAAGCGTCAAAACTTTTTCTAATGAGCATGCCTGAATTGTAGACAATGATCTTTATGAACACCAGACATACATTACTGTTACCGTATGTTTTCCTTGGACGAAAAAACTGAGTTCAGTGATAAGTGTAGCAAGAAAAGCTGGTAGAGCAGCGTAGCCAGAAGATATTTGGACCGGGGAATTAATGAGAGGTGACATAGGGAATGCGTCGCGAGTTGGTCAATGAAGGGTGTCAAAGGAAGAGGTTCAGAAAGAGAGCAAGGTTTGCAAAAGGCGTGAGCGGAGAAAACAGTGCAAATCTATATGAGGAAGACAAGCAAGAGTGGGAATACCACGAGCAAAGCAGGAGTATAGCTGGGAAAAGCATCAGGGTAGGGTTGTCAGAATTGTAGTTACTACTAGCCCACTTGGATCAAAGGGCTTGTTGAGAAGCAGGTCCGTGCGCCCATACCATACCCCCCCAGGCGAACGCATATGTAACCCATCCCTAGGATCAACCAAGGAGTCACAGCGTAAGCCTTCTAGGTCACGCGAATAACGTGGTTATGTGCGTTTTGACATATTCCAAGCCAGCAAGAGCGTGGGAGGGTGACGAGCATAATCGGTCATTGGTACTCGCGAATGAAAAATGTCAGCAGCACTTATGCACATGTACAGATTCTCTCGCGTTTTTTGTTTTTGGTTGGAAGCACTTGTTCCGAGCGGTTTTTTTCCGGTGGGTCACGTTCTGTGTGCGTTTGGACCTATAACCAAGCCAGCAAGAGCGTGGAAGGGCGACGAGCATGATCGGTCATTGGTACTCGCGAATGAAAAACGCATGTTGCATTTTCTGCACATGTGCGGATCCTTCCGCGTTTTAAAGATGAAAACGATCGTTCGGAGCGTTTTTCTTCCGTTTGGACACGCGGCTGTGTGCGTCTAGACCTATTACCAAGCCAGCAAGAGCATGGGAGAGTGACGAGCATGATGGGTCATTGGTAATGGCGAATGAACCATGCCTGCTGCATTTTCCGAACATGAGCGGATCCTTCCGCGTTTCGGGGATGAAAACGCTCGTTCTGAGTGTTTTTCTTCCATTCAGTCACGCGCTCGTATGCGTTTGGACCTATTACCAATCCAGCAAGAGCGTGAGAGGGTGGCGAGCATGATCGGTCATTGGTGTTGGCGAATGAACCATGCCTGCTGCATTTTCTGCATACTCGCTCACGTGGCTGCGCTTGTCTAGTCCTATTACCAAGCCAGCAAGGTCGTGGGAGGGTTGCGAGCATCATCGCTCATCGACGCTCGTGAATGAAGAGCGCCATCTGCACTTCCTGCACATGTGCGGATCCTTCCGCGTTTTGGGGATGGAAGCGCTCGTTCCGAGCGTTTTTCTTCCGCCGGGTCACGTAGTTGCGCTTATCTGGTCCTACTGCTAAGCCAGCAAGGGCGTGGGAGGGTTACGAGCATCATCAGTCATCGGCGCTCTCGAATGAAGAGCGACCGCTGCACTTCATGCACATGTAAGGATCCTTCCGCGTTTTGGGGGTGGAAGCGCTCATTTCGAACGTTTTTCTACCGCCGGGTCACATGGATGCGCTTGTCTGGGCCTATTACCAAGTCAGCAAGTGCGTGGGAGGGTTGCGAGCATCATCGGTCATCGACGCTCGCGAATGAAGAGCGCCCGCTGCACTTCTTGCACATGTGCGGATCCTTCCGCATTCTGGAGGTGGAAGCGCTCGTTCCGAGCGTTTTTCTTCCGCCGGGTCAGGTGGCTGTGCTTGTCTGGACCTATTACCAAGACAGCAAGGGCGTGGGAGGGTTGCGAGAATCATCGGTCATCGGCCCTCGCGAATGAAGAGCGCCAGCTGCACTTCCTGCACATGTGCGGAACCTTCAACGTTTTGGGAATGGAAGAGCTCGTTCCGAGCGTTTTTCTTCCACCGAGTCACGTGGCGGCGCTTGTCTGGGCCTATTTCCAAGCCAAGTAGGGCATGGGAGGGTTGCGAGCATCTTCGGTGATCGTCACTCGCGAATGAAGAGCGCCAGCTGCACTTCCTGCATATGTGCGGATCCTTCCACGTTTTTGGGGTGGAAGCGCTCGCTCCGAGCGTTTTGTTTCCGCCGGGTTTAGTGGCTACGCTTGTTGGGCCTATGAACAAGCCAGCAAGAGCGTGGGAGGGTTGGGAGCATCATCATTCATCGGCGCTCGCGAATGAAGAGCGCCCGCGGCACTTCCTGCACATATGTGGATCCTTCCGCGTTTTGGGGGTAGATGTGCGCGTTTCGAGCGTTTATTCTTCCGCTGGATCACGTGGCTGCACTTATCAAAACTTATTACCAAGCCACCAAGGGCGTGGAAGGGTTGCGAACATCATTGCTCATCGGCGCTCGCGAATGAAGAGCGCGTGCTGCACTTCCTGCACATGTGCGGATCCTTCCGCGTCTTGGGGGTGCAAGCGCTCGTTCCGAGCATTTTTCTTCCGCCAAGTCACAAGGCTGCGCTTTTCTGGGCCTATTACCAAGCCAGCAAGGGCGTGGGAGGGTTGCGAGCATCATCGGTCATCGGCGCTCGCGAATAAAGAACGCCCTCTGTACTTCCTACACATATGCGGATCTTTCCGTGTTTTGGGGGTGGAAGCGCTCGTTACGAGCGTTTTTCTTCCGCCACGTCACGTGGCTGCGCTTGTTGGGCCTATTAACAAGCTAGCGAGGGTGTGGGAGGGTTGCGAGCATCATCAGTCATCCGCGCTCGCGAATGAAGAGCGCCCGCCGCACTTTCTGCACATGTGCAGATCCTTCCGCATTTTGGGGGTGGAAGCGCTCGTTACGAGCGTGTTTCTTCTGCCGGGTCACGTAGCTGCGCTTGTCTGAGCCTATTACCAACCAGCAAGGGCGTGGGAGGGTTGCGAGCATCATCGGTCATCGGCGCTTGCGAATGAAGAGCACAAGCGGCACTTCCAACACATGTGCGACTTCCATATGTAGCACATTCTCCCTCTTTCCATCACCCCGCCCCATTCTCCATCTTTCCATCACCTCGCCCCATTCTCCCTCTTTCCATCACCCCGCCCCATTCTCCCGCTTTCCATCACCCCGCCCCATTCTCCCTCTTTCCATCACCCCGCCCCATTCTCCCGCTTTCCATCACCCCGCCCCATTCTCCCTCTTTCGATCACCCCGCCCAGTTCTCCCTCTTTCCATCACCCCGCCCCATTCTCCCTCTTTCCATCACCCCGCCCCATTCTCCCTCTTTCCATCACCCCGCCCCATTCTCCCTCTTTCCATCACCCTGCCCCATTCTCCCTCTTTCGATAGCCCCGCCCCTTTCTCCCTCTTTCCATCACCCCGCCCCAATCCTCCCACTTCCCCGCCAAATTCTCCAGCTTTCAATCACCCCTAGGCCCTTGTTCTTGAAATTTTGCACACGCTAGGCCCTTATTCTTGAAATTTTGCAAACGCTATGCCATTGTACTTGAGTTTGGCACACGCTAGGCCCTTGTTCTTGCAATTTTGCACACGTTAGGCCCTTGTTCTTGAATTTTTGCAAATGCTAGGCCCTTGTTTTTGCTATTTTGCACTCACTAGGCCCTTGTTCTTGCAATTTTTCACTCGCTAGGCCCTTGTTCTTGCAATTTTGCACACACTAGGCCCTTGTTCTTGAAATTTTGCACATGCTAGGCCCTTGTTCTTGCATTTATGCACACGCTAGGCCCTTGTTCTTGAAATTTTGCAAACACTAGGCCTTTGTTCTTGCTATTTTGCACACGCTAGGCCCTTGTTCTTGCAATTTTGCACACGCTAGGCCATTGATCTTGAAGTTTTGCACACGCTAGGCCCTTGTTCTTGCTATTTTGCACTCGCTAGGCCCTTGTTCTTGCAATTTTTCACTCGCTAGGCCCTTGTTCTTGCATTTTTGCACATGCTAGGCCCTTGTTCTTGAAATTTTGCAAACACTAGGCCTTTGTTCTTGCTATTTTGCACACGCTAGGCCCTTGTTCTTGCAATTTTGCACACGCTAGGCCATTGATCTTGAAGTTTTGCACACGCTAGGCCCTTGTTCTTGCTATTTTGCACTCGCTAGTCCCTTGTTCTTGCAATTTTTCACTCGCTAGGCCCTTGTTCTTAAAATTTTGCACACACTAGGCCCTTGTTCTTGAAATTTTGCAAATGCTAGGCCCTTGTTCTTGCAATTTTTCACTCGCTAGGCCCTTGTTCTTGCATTTTTGCACACGCTAGGCCGTTGTTCTTGCAATTTTGCACACGCTAGGCCATTGATCTTGAAGTTTTGCACGCGCTAGGCCCTTGTTCTTGCTATTTTGCACTCACTAGGCCCTTGTTCTTGCAATTTTTCACTCGCTAGGCCCTTGTTCTTGCAATTTTGCACACACTAGGCCCTTGTTCTTGAAATTTTGCACAAGCTAGGCCCTTGTTCTTGCATTTTTTCACTCGCTAGGCCCTTGTTCTTGCATTTTTGCACACGCTAGGCCCTTGTTCTTGAAATTGTGCAAACACTAGGCCTTTGTTCTTGTTTTTTTGCACACGCTAGGCCCTTGTTCTTGCAATTTTGCACACGCTAGGCCATTGATCTTGAAGCTTTGCACACACTAGGCCCTTGTTTTTGCTATTTTGCACTCGCTAGGCCCTTGTTCTTGCAATTTTGCACACGTTAGGCCCTTGTTCTTGCAATTTTGCACACGCTTGGCCCTTGTTTTGCAATTTTGCACCCGCTAGGCCCTTGTTTTGCAATTTTGCACACGCTAGGCCCTTGTTCTTGCAATTTTGCACACGCTAGG